CAGCCACACATGGTGGTGTGTGCCTGTAGTCCCAGCTGCTCAGGAGGCTGAGGTGGGAGGATCACTTGAGCCTGGAGGTTGAGGCTGCAGTGAGCTATGATTGTACCACTGCACTCCAGCCTGGGCGACAGAGCAAGACCCTGTCTCAAAAAAATCAAAAGCGGGAGGCGGCAAATGTAGAAGCCCTCCTGGGGACTGCAGGTCTGGGACAGCAGTGGGGCTCTGGCCAGCTGCTCCCTCTGCTGCCCGCTCCACAGCTCCGAGCCCTGTCCAAACCCCTGCGCTGTGCCCGCAGTTCCTGGCCTGGAACAGCCCACCCCTCACCTCCGAGTTTGTGGCGCTCCTCCCGGCCCTGGTGGACGCCGGAACGGCCCTGGAGATGCTGCATGCGCTGCTGGACCTGCCCTGCTTGACGGCGGTGCTGGACCTGCAGCTCAGGTGGGCCCCTCACCCTCCACCAGTGCTGCCTCTCCAGACAGCTGGTTCCACATACGGGGCCCCCTCCTCACTGCTCCTGACCCTACACCGGGGACCCTCCTCCCTCCTCGCCAACACCTGACCAGTCCTCCCCTGCAAAGCCACCTCCAGGACATGGCGTGTCTGTCACCCTTGGCAGCCCCTGCGCCCCGGAGTTCCTCACCTGTCTTCACACACAGGCCTGAAGTCTCCTGTGTGCCCAAGCCCTTCCCAGCACCCGAGGCGCTCTGATGTTAGGGACACCTGCCATGTGTCTCCTTGATGGGGGTGCCCTGGAGGGCAGGGGCCGCATTCCAGCCTGGCCTTGGGCATCTGTCCACGCAGGTCATCGCCGGCTCCATCCGAGAGGCCACTCTGGGACACCTCTCTCAGGGCCCCCAGCTGCCTGGAAGCCTTCCGGGACCCGAAGTTCCAGGGCCTTTTCCAATACCTGCTGCGCCCCAAGGCCAGCGGCACCACCGAGAGGTAGGGGGCCCTTGGGCCAGGGACCACCAGGGGCTCAGAGAGCCAGGCTACAGCCACTGGGGTGGGGCTCGCTGCTGGACCCTGGGCTGAGGCCAGGGTGCTTTGTGCCCAGACAAGGCTGCGTCCCTGACCTGGGGAGCAACTGTCATCGCCACTGCAGAGGCCTTGCTTGTGCAACACAGGTCTGCCGGGTGCGGGGCCTGCTCTCAGCTCTCTGCTGCCCACATCAACCCTTACAAGCCTGCGGGTCGGCCCTGTGGGTGCTCCATTTTGCAGATGGAGAAACTGAGCCCGAGCCCAGAAAGCAGGAGGCCTGGGACCAGCCCACAGGCCTCTTGCCCTCGGCGCACATCAGCCTTTGCCCCAGTGGCTCTACTGTCCCGGGTGTGCTGACACCAGGGTTCTCCCCAAACCCAGGGGAGCAGGAGGTCCTGAGAGGCGATGAGCGAGGATGGGAGTGGGCTCAGCTGTGCAAGAGGGAGCAGTGGCAACGTGGCCCCGGCGCCTGGCCCTTGCCTGTGGTCACCAGGTAGGGGAGCGGGCGGCTCTTAACGGCTACGCCTGTGTTCTCAGGTTGGTGCCACTCTACCAGCTGCTGCAGCCCATGGCCGGCTGCGCCCGCGTGGCCCAGTGTGCCGAGGCCGTGCCCACGCTGCTGCAGGCGTTCTTCTCAGCGGTGACCCAGGTGAGCTCGCCATCTGGTGCCCCCCATTCCCATGGGCCTCACACACAACCGAGGGGCAGGCCAGAGCCAGCACCGTGGGGTCCTCCTGAGCTCTGCAGAAGGCTCATCCCACCACACCTGCCATCCACAGCCACTCTGAGGGTCAGGGAGGCACAGGGACATGGCTGCACGGGCCACAGTCCCAGCAGGCCCCGGCCCTCGTCCCATCCCCTTCATCCCCACAGGCCCCGTCCCCCGTCCCATCCCCTCCATCCCGGCAGGCCCCGTCCCCTGTCCCATCCCCTTCATCCCGGCAGGCCCCGGCCCCCATCCCATCCCCTTATCCCGGCAGGCCCCGTCCCCCGTTCCATCCCCTTTATCCCGGCAGGCCCCGGCCCCCATCCCATCCCCTTCATCCCCACAGGCCCCA